CTCTCACTCGCAAAAATAAATAAATATTAAAAAAAAAATGAGAAAGGGGCCAGAAGAAAGGCAGCCCTTGAAACCCAAGAAAGCCCAGGGGTGACTAGGGGATGGCTCTGTCAGTTGTGGCCAGATGGGGGACAACGTGTGGAAAGGAGCGCGGCCAGCATGCAGCGTTCTCCTGACAGAAGAGAACGCTGCCGGGGAGCAGAGGAAGCCCTGGGGAAGAGCAGGACTAGAGAAGCGTGCAGACCCCTGGGAGGTGGAAGGAGGAGCAAGAGACCAATCAGACTAGCATCTCCACTGAATGGGTTCCCACCGGGGCTCCCCGTGACCTAATGACCACCCTCTGTGGCCTCTGCTCATTCTCTATCCTGCTGAGCCTTGCAGCATTCCGTCCGTGGTCCCCTCCCTTGTTTTCTGAGTCTTTTCTCTTCTACCAACTTCCACCAAAGCCTTTGCTCAGATTTTCTCCTGCTCCCACCGCCCCTGCTTTCTCTTCTCAGTTGGCCCTGGGGCTCCCCCCCCCACCCCCCGCCCCCCGCCCCGGGAGAATGTTCATGCGCCTCAGTGCGCATCTCCTTGTCACATCTTCTTCTCAAGTAATCGCGTGGATGTATGCGGCTTTCACCAACACTGACGTGCTAACAACTTCACGAGCTTCAGAGTCACGTTTCCAAATGCTTCGGAGACTTCTCCACTCAGTGGCTGTATAGTTATTAAGTCCACATGTTCCAAGAATCCCCGGGGACTCATCTCCGACGTGTTCCTTCTCCAGTGAGGTCCATTTCAAAGGCAAAGGATCACAGGCATCATTCTTGACTCAAGTCCTTCCTCTAACTCCCGCCTCCAAATGGCCACCCCATGCTCCTGAACCTTCTGTGCTCTTCCTCCTGGTGCAAAGACAACTGTGCGAGGCCCTGGCTGCCCACCTGGACAACTGACTTTTCCACTGCTCTCCCTGCCTCCAGTCTCCCTCCCTAATCCATCAGACACACTGCAACTGGACGTCCCTTCCAGAAACCCACACCCAACACGTTGTGGTCCTCCCCATAAGGTGTGCACTGGTGACCCGTGACTTGCGAGACTCTTGGGGCGGACTCTTCTTCCGGCTTCACTCCTGCCACCCCACTCCCCCTCCACCCTGTGCTCCAGCTCCAACAGACCACTCAGCTGTTTCCACAGTATGTGGTCTTCTCCCTATCGTCACACAAGTGCGAGGGAAACGCTCTACCTGATACGCTCCTCCCTCTCTCCCCTCCTGTCCAGGAAATTGTTACCATTCTTCAAGACTCGGTTCAAATATCACCTCCTCTACAAAGCATGCTAGGACTCATCACTCGGCTAATCGCCGTCTCCCTCATAACCTCGCCGCGTTTTGCAACCACTGCAGGCTCTGTCATAGTTCACCCCAGTTACTCGCCTCTGTGTCGTTCACCAAGCTCGGCGTTAGTTCACCGTGCTGCTTGCTGAAGGTTCTGGAATAAAGTTATAAGCGCATGAACGAACAAAGGGTTACTTCGCCTTTCTCACCCACTATAGCAGCTGAACCCAAAGTGTTCCTGGAAAGGAAGCTGAAGCAGTCTTCCCCCTGGTAGTCTACAGATTACAGGGTATTACATGCCTAAAGTGCCCCCGCCAAATTCCTGAGCACCCTCAAGGTCAAAAGGGGGCTATGACGTTTCCAAACTCCAGAAACAAGGTTGGTATTCGAGATGCCACAATTTAGTGAGGTCCGCATGGCAGTCAAGCCACAGCAATGAAGCCTGCTCCCTCCCGAGTTCACTCACAGAGTACGTTTTTACTGAGTGCCTACTGTCTACTGGACACCGTGCTAGCTAGGCACGGAGGAGCAAAAGGACTCAGCATTAGTAAAGGCCAAAGACATATGGCAGCAAATAAAAAAGACCAGAGTTCCTTCGTTCAGCAGCCCGACTGAACATCTTCAATGTGCCAGGCTCTGCCCTCCACACTAAGGGGACACAGGGGTGGGGGGCATGGGAGGAAGACAGACAGACAAGCATCCCTGTCCTCAGACAGCCAAGGAACAAGATGAAGCAGTGACATGTATAAAATAGGAGGCGGAGGCAAGTGCTCAGGAGAAACAAACATGGAAAGGAAAGAGGGTGTGTTGGCAACGGGGGGCGGGGTGCTCACGAGCACTAAGCGCTAACAGAGAGGCGTGGGAAAAGGCTGTGGGGACACGAAGAGGGAGGGGCTCCTTCACGGGAAGCTGGAGGCGGCTCCGAAGAGGGCATGATTGTTGAGGTGGGTTCTGGACAAACAGCATGGGCAGCAGTGGCGGGAGCTGAAGCAAGAGAAGTCACAAGGATTTTTATGCCATGTAAAGGAGAGTGGATTTTATTCTGTGGGCCACAGGGAGCCAATGAGAGTTTTAGACTGGAGAAGTAAGCTGGCCGGCCTAGTTCTAAGGAGGATCACTCTGGAGGCAGCATGCAGGGCAGAGTAGAGGGGGGATGATCACGCAGGAGGGCCAGAGCGACAGTCTAAGGAAACAACCACTGTGCTTCTACTGTCCTGGGGAACGGGGCAGGCAGGAAACCTTGCCCTTGACACCTCAACAAAGTGGGACAGCGGACTCCCGTGTCAGACCGCGCTCCTGCAGCAGTGTTTACCTACCTGAAACCAACAGGTGTCCGCTTCAAAATGCCAATAAGAGGATAGCTCTTTGTCAAACACACAGTGTGCAGCAGAATCCACAACTGATGCTCTTATTTAGGGCTTTAAGAAACACTATGATGACTACGTTTTGAGGCTTCTGCATAACCACTTACGTGGCTTTCTTTATAGGATGTTTTCTGCCATTAGCTTCTTGCTTTTATACTTGGACTAAATGTTACAGCTGATTGGTCAAAATGTTTATGTAAAACAGTGGAAGAAGAAACAAGTTAGTAGTCGGTGTCCAATGGGCCTTTTATATACCCATTCGGTGCTAATCCCCACCTTCTACTATGCCATATGAAAACCAACTAAAGCTTGCTAAGTGCCTCCCCAATTAATTACAAAAGTCCCACGTGCTCATTCCAAGTGGAGGGGAGAAAACAGAGCATGCATAAGTCCACTCTCCAGATCTCCCAAGTACTAACACGCCTGCTGTTATTTCTTTCCGGCCTCTTTTCTACAGACAGGTTTTGCTTGGTTTATGCAGTTGAGATCATACAATCTTGTCATGGCATCACAGTTTTAAAAATTTCCCCAGTTCATCATCAGTGACAGCATAAAATGGAACCAGGCATGCATGGCTGGCCAACAAGCCAAGAGTCTCAGAGGGGAAAGGCACTGTAACACTTGCTTTGATTCTCATTTTTGATGACTCTTGCATATATTAGCATAAAATTTCTCAATCTGTCTCAATTTGACCCTTGGGAGCCGGAAAGAATGAGTCTGATCCCTGCTCCACAGAAGGCACTTCAGACATTCCAAGGTAGCTCTGTCATGGCTCCCTTCCGTCTTTTCTTCAGATGAAACATCAACACTTATTTCAATCATCGCTCATATTGCAGCCCCTTCACAAGCCTGGTTCCCTCTGTCTGAACCCTCGCTGGTTTGCCAATGTCCCTCTTAAAACATGGCACCTGGATTTGAACACGACACTTCAGATGGGACTACAGTCTCATTTTGCTGGCCATTATATTATACTTTTGTTAGTTAAGCCTACAGGGATATTAACTTTGTCATCAATCATGCCCAATTACTGGATCAAATAAGCTTGAGCCCCTATTAAGACAGACCTGACCTCCTCCATCCTTTGTTGGTACAACAGGTTTGTATAAAGTAAATGTTATCTACACGAAATGTATCCTTAGTTTCCCTCCAATATCCTAGTCCATTAAGACCGTTTCAAATCGCAACTGCATAGTCTAGCACATTGGCTACTTTGCAGTCTTTCACATATGGGACGTGCATACTTCCTGTGGGTTCAACTGCATTGCATTAGACACACTGCAGAGGAGGGGCCCTATACAGCAAGACATTCGTTACCGCCCTTCCTGGTTGGTATCAAGGCTTTAATCCACAGTCTATAACTCCATCTAGATGTACCACCACCATTTGGCCCATGTTTCTTAGTCATATGCCTCGATTTAATCAGGACAAGCTGTCAATAACACAGGCCTAAGGAAATTATGGGGTAAAAGCAATGACACAAAAGCTACATTCCCCCAACATTCTTTACATCTCCTGTGTATAAACTGCTGTTGGGCTACTCTTCCACATACCCTGGACCTATCCATTCTTCCTTGGCCCATCCCCCAAATACAGCTGCCCCTTCAGGCTGGCCTGGACAACGGTGATCCACTGTATGTACCGTAGGTCCTTCGGCGACAGCCATGCAGCTCTTCACTCATCCCTTCCCTTCGGGAGCACCTCGTCCCCATCTCATGGTTCCATCAGTGCTACATGCCTTGAAATGCTACGGCACACATTTCATGGCCACAGAATGAAAAGGGAGATTGGCACTAAGCCACACCATAGGCATCCTAGTGCTAAACCACTATCTAGTACTTTGTGATTGACCACTTGGAAAGTTCTAGAGCAATGGGCCTTAACAAGGGATTCGCATCAGCATCCTCCTCTGTGAAGTCTTAAAACTTACAACTATACCTGGACCATAGGCCTGGACACTGTGACGCAGGACATCTAGGGCATCTGTAGTGTCTGTTAAGCACCCCACGTGGTTCTCGTCTGTGCTTCTGGTAAAGAACCACTGTTCTCTACTAACTTCTCCAAACTAGCGAATGGGTCCAGTTACCAACGCCTCCCCAATGTTCTGAGGGCTAAAACTTCTTACTTTTTAAATCCACACTATTCCTACGTACACAGGTGTTAGTGGTAAATGAGCTTTGCATAAGCCAAAAATTAAGAGCCGAGAAGCAAATACATCCCCCATGTTAATCTGATCCACAGGCAACGTTGCCAGGTAGAAGAGACACAGTTTAGCATTATCTTTAACAGTTAGGGTCATCTTTATGGTCTTAGATTCTACTTACCGTTTCCAAACTTCTTAAATAAAGACGATAATTTGTGATGTAAACTCTTCCCTTAATGGGGCCATTGAAAGGACATATGTAAATAACTTCTTTGTCTATTAAGATAAAAAAAGTACCCTAAAATAGTGGAAATATATACCAAGATACACAACAAATGGCACTCATTTAATATCAACTATGGGGCTAAGAATAACTACAGTAAAAAAAGATCCCTGGAAAGGTCGAAAGGCGGGCACCGGCCACGTTTCTACATTACCGTGCCAGGTCAAGTGGGGCCAACGGTCACCTCCAGGCACCGGCATTGCTTCCCTGAGCTTGACCAAAATGCTGGCACCACCGAGGGCAAGGTGGTAATAGCCAGAGAGCAGAAGTGAAGGTGGGGACTGCCGCCGCTACCCCCAGTGGTTGTAAAGGTAACTACGGAGTTACTTTAATTGGAGGACGGCCGTTCAGGCAGGACAGTCTCGTGGACTAACCGCCAGATATGGTTTGAGGTTGGCCAACCTCTAATCATGCAAACATCATGATGTTTTAAATAAACAAACGTCAGTGGTAGAAATATTCCTACAGTCTATTCTTTCTAATAGTCCAGAGAAGAGTTTTTAGCTAGATTCATTTCGATCATTTAAGGGACAGAAAACAGATGGCCAAGAGAATAGTACATCTTTAGTAGACTCAAACATAAGGAGAGGCTAAATCAGGAGACTTAATTTATTATCATAAAAAGATCTTTCTGTTATCTTTCAAGGATGTCCTTGAATGTGTTAACGGCTTTTAATTCTTTTTAACAATTTTGAAATCCCTTTCTCCTCGGGTGCTAAATGAAAAATACCCAGTAAGGCGACTTCATGCTAATTCAATACAGGACTACCTCAGTTAAGCTTCTGATGCTGATGCAGAGCACCAAAATTTCATATATGAAGGCCACCCAAAGTAAGCTATCCTCTTTGCTCTTATCCAGAATTTGGGATGGACACATGCCACTGGTTTTCAAGACTAGCATCGTGTGCAAGTCTGTGGACATGGAAGAGTTTCTCATGGTGCACGGCTAACTAATTCACAAAGGCACCACGTCTTACACCATGTTTTAGCCATTGAAGCTAAACAACCCAGACCTTAGTGAGCAAACCAAAAGGTTCCCTGAAACGATGGTAACTGTATCACCACCAAATACATGGTAATCTGAGGCAAGGGTGTTGGCCCTAATATAAAATGCGAATGCCCACAACATCAGCATTTGGCTTAGAAGTTGTCAGATGCTCCTGTATTCTTAAGCCAGAATGATCTGGCCCTTCCAAAGTAGATCCCTTCCTCTTAGTATGAATTTATCATGAAAAAGATAAGTCTGCAATCGAAATACTGCATCAATATTACTAACTCCAGTTATCGGACAAACGAAAGCTATTATAAACCAATATGGTCTCCTATATTTCAAAGAGAAGACTATTTAGACGTTAAGTCTTTAGGTTGATCATTTTAAGGCATACATCCTAGGCTGGAAAACCTTACTATTACTTGGTTCTTATAACCTCAAACCATGAGAGCTTAGAGCTCCAATAAGGGACATTCGAGAGAGAATCCACTTTTTTTTTCCCCAAAAAATAATTCTCACTCTTGGGTACAGAGGGGAAAATATTACTATCCTGGATAGCATGAAACTCTTCAAAGAACTCTGATCAAGAAACTAATGCAGAGAGTTCTCCTTATGTTAACACTTTTAAACAAAGCTAGCCTATATACCTAAATCTGAGTTCTAAAGAGAAAGAGGGATTGAAGCCACCTGATCCTGCTGGGACTCTCATCAAGTAATGCAAATCCTAACTTCACAGGACCCTTACCAGTGATGCGAGTTTCTCCTGGAAGTCGAGGAACAGCCTCACTGAGGTCCCGATTAACTCCATCCCTAGAAGTCTGGAAACGAAACAGGGCATCAGAGGAATGACATTACATTTGCACAGATTTTTAAGCAACTTGGAACTCAACCAACCAGAAATACACTTTGTAAAGAAAAAAAATTAAAGTGATCATTATCATTATAGAAAAGTGGCACAGAAAAAAACAAACGACCAAAAAATACAACTTAGCATCAATATTCATTAGCTGTGTTAACTTTTAGTCCGTAAATAACATTAGCACACTTTTCAATATTAATTTTTAAATACCCCTTCCGGGAGCTTTACAGTGAACACTGTTCAGAAAAGTGATAAAAAGTCAGTATTAAGCATATTCTATAGATACACGCCTACTTTGGCATTTTTTTCCATACTAAATATTTAGTCATCTTATGTTAACAGCAGAAATGAAAATTTCATTTCAAGGGGGCCTTAACTGAACAACAGTAATTACAGAATCTTCCCATAATGTCAGAATCTTCCCATATGTTACTTCTTAACATATCAGGTTTCTTATTTTACTGAGATCCTTCCTCGCATAGGTCACTATATAAAGAGGAAAGGGCGGTCAAGCATTTTAACTAGGAGGGCAATCATTTTGTGCGCAAAGTTAGTATATACTTCCCACAGAGGGTTTTTGTGAATATTAAGTGAAACAAAATGCACAAGCACACTTCTGTGAATTATCAAGGGCTATGCAAATGTAAAGTATTATGCAATAAGAGAACTGTGAATTGTGTATTTAAGTAAGACATAAGCTGTCAAAGTTGGGTGCTCTGCTGGATTTTTAATGGTTTTATCATTTTTATTCAGGCACAAAATGAAAATTCCTAACCAATTTTCAATGTTTTAGTACTTGTAAGCTAAGCATTTTAACTAGGAGGGCAAGACCAATTGTTGCCAGCCAGGAATGCCTTACCCCATGGGGAGCAAAACCACACAACTTATATAAATGGTAAGACTGGAAAGAAATCACCAGCATCCTTTAACGCTGCCCCTCACTAACTAAAAATAAGTATAACGAGCAAATGTAATACTCAGTATACCTTTTAAGGACCACAGTTCGGGGCCAGGAGAAGAAAGTACAATTCAACCACAAAATTAGGGAAACAGATGTTTGATTAACACAGATAACATGGGATTAACATAGGATATACTTTATATTAGAGTCATATTCCACAAGGACCTACAATTAGCTCCATGAAGTAACTCTTGTGTTTAGAACTGATCCTTGTACCACAATGATACCAAAATACAATAAAAACTTATAAAATCTTGGGGATGAAAAAGGTCGTTGTAGACATGACACCCAAAGCAGAAAATACGAAATACAAAAGACTGATAGATGTGATCACATAAAAAATTTAAACCTCTGTATTTCAAAATCAAAATGCCGCAAATATAATAAAAAGGCCAATAGTAAGCTAGGAAAAAGACCTGTAATGTATATTATAAAGAGCTGATTATCATTATATGTAAAGAACACTTATGAATCAATAGAAACACACCAAAAAGCAAACAGGCAAAGGATACGAACAGCCACTTCAAGAAAGAAATACAAATGGATAATAAACACTATTTTTTAAAAAAAAGGTCACCCTCATTAGTACTCAGGGAGCTACAAATTAAAAAACACTAGTTGGCTCCCTTCTGATTGCTTAGGCATCCCTGTACACTGCTGGTGGGAGTGTAAATGAACCTTTCTGGTGGATAATTGGTAAATGCATCCAAGGCTTCAAAGGGCCATGAATAAAGCTTATTTTAAATCCGCCCCTTCCTTTCAATATATGTTTCAAAATCGCCCTCTAATTACACAATTTTCTCCTCGATACTTTGAACAATTTTTTCTTGACGCTGCATTCATTTCACTCATACAACTATTTTATCATCATAATTAGAAAATAAGGCCAATGTTTAGGAAGGTGTGAGAGCCTGCTCAGTGGGCCTTGGCCTTCCAATATCTCCTTCAGAAAGCTTTTAAGGCCCAGAGGTTGCCTAGTATCTTAAATATAATGTCTGGCAGCAGTTCACAAAACAAAGGTTCTCAAAAATGAAGTTACGTGAAAGGATTTACAAATGCAAAACTTACTTAACACATATATGGCATTCTCTCTTTTCTGGAACAAGGTAGGATATTAAAGAAAACCACATATATTGAAGAACGTACATTATGTGAATAATGAAATTAATAATTCAATAAGCCCGAAATGACACCTAATATGCAAATATGAGAAGAGAAATGCAGAGAAAGGGGTACAAATTAAATCTGAAAACTTACCCTCTTAATAGACTCATTCTCCAAGGAGTGTGAATTATATTTAGAAGTTGGTGCAGAAGCCATACTGGAAACTCTAGCAAAAAAAGACAACATTCAATATCAGCAGATTTTGTATGCAATTTCCAACAATGCGGCATCTGAGGTTTAAATATTGCAGCTGAGAACAAATGGTACTACACTCGACAGGCCCCATTTCCGTAGTAGTCTCCAGGGAGAACGAGACACACAAGGGACTCACCACAGCACACAGCACAGGTCACGTGAAAGAGCTCCAACAAATATATAGGGAACTGGGCAAGAACAGAAAAGGGCAGCTAAGTGTACTTGGGGGAGCTCAGTGGGAGACACTACACATACCCCCAGAATGGTTATTCATAGCGTTCAAATTGTCATCTCAAAAAATGCACTGTTTAGTAACTGTGTACCAGTCCTCAAATTTCCACACTTCTTAATTTTGAAGCAGCCAAGCAGATTGGTAAAAAGGGTAGACAACTGAACTCACACTCTTTTCGCCTTTAAGAATTCAGTCTTCTCCAAATTGAGGCAATTTAAAGTGGCATGGACTTGATGGAAATCAAATTAGCAAGATTTGATTTGATCAGTATTTTCCAGGGAAAGTTTATACTTCATTTAAATAATGCATATTCATCACAATTCAGGAATAAATGAAAGCATCGTATTCAGAACATACACAGTATTTTAATGCAAGGATTTAGACTTGTGAAGACTATTGCAACAACAGAAAACTAAGTGATGCTTTAGTTATTTTATTTCTCAAAGTTAATGACACAAAGATCTGTATGAAGTCACTGGGAGGTGAACCACATCAACTAGGTGACTGTGGATATTTATGGGATCTTTTTTGCCAGGCTCATTAAAAAAGCAACCACACAAAATCTAGCATGGCTAATATTCACACACCTTGGCGCAAAACCTAGAGATCTGATAGCTGCACAGTGCCAATCACTGTCCATAAGTAAGGCCCAAGAGAGGTGACAAAGATGCGCGTAAAGGTAACCACCGGGATAATGAGGCAAGGACGGCTACATGAGGACATTCTTACAAGATTAAGACTGCCAGGCTTCCCCCAGCGGAGTTCAGCTCACCAAGGGCAAGGCCGGGCATCCATCTAGGTCACGGCTGCATCCTGGCACACAGCTGGCCCTCATAACTATTTGGTCAATGAATGATTATGTACAAGATACACAATACTGTGAAACATGATGGGGTGAGCTAGTACCTTGGTTCACCAAATCCTAAAAACAATGGACTTAGGGTGCTACCCTGAGGCTTAAAAATTAAAAATTATGGCAAAATAGAATGCTTCTTTATAAACTTAAACCTGCAACTATTAAGAGGTAGCGCAATCTAAAATTAGAAATAACTTTTTAGAAAAAGTAATGAATAATTTAAAAATGAGTGAAATTCAGATAAAAGCTTAGAAAAAATAGCTTCAAAAGACCTCTCTAACCTCAAGTTCAAATCCAAGCAAAATAACTCATTATTCTCAGAGACAGCAGAATGGATGAGACAGACTAGTGAGAGCAAGTCAGATGTTTCTGCCCTAAAATTATTCTATGCACTAAACAAGATTATATACTGGAGGGATTTTCTTCAGTAACAGATATAAAATTACTTTTTAATAATCAGATACTATAGTATTTAAAACATTTTAATAATATAAGTCAATGTTTTCAAATAACATTAAATTACTACTGTCAAGTCAATATAAGAAATTCAAAATGCTGGGGTATACCGTCAATTCAGTCTTCACTTTCCTGTTCATGTTTATAAGTCATAAAAGGAAGAGGAGTCTTCCTATATTTTTCAATCCTCATTTTAAAAAACTTCAATTTAGGGGCACCTGGGTGGCTCAGTCAGTTGAGTGTCCCACTCGATTTCGGCTCTGGTCTTGATCTCAGAGTCGTGAGATTGAGCCCTGTGTCGGGCTCCTCACTGAGTGTAGAGTCTGCTTGTCCCTCTCCCTCTCCTCTCTCTCTCTCTCTCTCTCTCTCTCAAATAAGTAAATAAAATCTTTAAAGTGAAATAAGAAACTTCAATTTAAAATGAACTAAATATAACAGAAGAAAGTCCTCACATCCCCCTTATTTCTAACTACCTAACAAGATATAACTAGCTACACAAGTCACCCTTCTCAAGTGTACAATTTAATGGTTTCGAGTATACCCACAGTTGTACGGCCATCCCCAGCATCAGCGTTAGAACATTCTCAGCACCCCAGAGAGAAACTCTGTACCCATTAGTCATGTATCACTCCCCACTCCTCCTGCCCCTAAATGACCACAAATCTGCTATCTCTACAGATTTGCCCATTCTGGACATTTTATATAAGGAATCATATATAGTTCACCCTTAAACAACAAAGGCTTGAACTGCGTGGGTCTACTTACACATAGATTTTTTTTTTATAGTACTGTAAGTTTATTTTCTCTTATGATCCCCTTAATAACATTTTCTCTAGCTCGCTTTTATTGTAAGAATACAGTATGTAACACAGACAACATAAAAAATATGTGCTAATCAAATGTCTACACATTTACATGAGTATTTTCAACTGCGTGGGGGGCTAAGGCCCCTAACTCCCATGTTGTTCAAGGCTCAACTGTAATACGCAGTCTTTGTTCAAGGGTCAACTGTAATAGGTCTAAAGTCCTGATACTTTAGAGTTGCACCAGAAACTGCTACTATTAAAAGTTGGATCAAGCACAAATCTGAGAAATCCAGGGGTCCAAGTAACATGGGTCAGTTCCATGAGGTTTGCTTTAAAATGTCATAGGTGGGGTGCCTGGGTGGCTCAGCTGGTTAAGCGACTGCCTTCGGCTCAGGTCATGATCCTGGAGTCCCTGGATTGAGTCCCGCATCGGGCTCCCTGCTCGGCAGGGAGTCTGCTTCTCCCTCTGACCCTCTTCCCTCTCGTGCTCTCTATCTCTCATTCTCTCTCTCTCAAATAAATAAATAAAAAATCTTAAAAAAAATAAAATGTCATAGGTGAACCTTTCTGGTGAATGGTTCCAACTGACCCCTGATGCACAGAAGCTGGAACAGCATGATGATGGAGAGCACAGATGTTAGAGCCAACTCCATTCAAATCCTGACTCTGCAACTCACTATTTGACCTTGGGCGGGTGATTCAACCTTCCCACTATTCAGGCCTTCGGCTGCTACTATCTCTGTGTTTTTGCAGCACAGATGGGCAAAATGAATACATACATGGGACGGGCTCAGAACAGGGTTCTGGTATATACATTAACAAATTATTAGCATTTTTTTTCAATTATGAAAGGATACTTACTGAATGCTGACCCTGTAACAAATTATTCTACAAATTAGTCTTGACCCTATAAATACTAGCTAGAAAGTTAACTAGCACAGGGATAGTGCATGGCCAGCAGTGACCTAGTTATAAAGCTTCTCTTTAAAAAGTACATGAAAATACCCTTTTGGTTACATTTTGCCCCAGGACCCCTAAAGATCGAGTTTTCATCCTTTTTATCTAAAAAACACTGAATTTGGGCTACTTTGGCTTTAAAGTGAAATTGAAACTTAATTCCTATATCTTTTTATATCTATCCACACACACACACACACACACACACACACACATTACAGGAATCTAACCAAAGGTAGATACCTCTCATTTTTGATCCTGAAAAAAACTTTTGTCATGCTTTCAGCCCAATCCTCTATGACAGAGATGACCAGAAGAGCCCAGAGGATGTGTGAAAAGGACCGGTGCAAGTTAATGGCAGGTCAGCTCTAGCCTAGGCCTCTGCACTAACACCAGAGTGTCCTTTCCACCCAGGGAAAAGTGCTTCCAAGTGTCTCTATTTTGAAGAAACCACGTTGGATGTGACTGGTGCCAATCCCAGCAGAAATGGAGTTTCAGACTAAGAAGTAGTGAGGAAAACTCAACTCATCTAGGCAAACAATCATTGGGGGCCCCAAACTCCTTCAAATAAAGTTACATAAAGGTGGCATTATTTAATAAATCAAATGTGAAAGTCACAAGATGGTCTTAATTGGATCTCTCTACACTGTCCTCCTCAGCTCTCTTCCCCATCTGTCTCCCACCCTCCACCCTTCTTTTTCTGCCTCTCTCTGTCCGTCTCTTCTCCCTAGCACGTGCCACCTTTCAGATAATCCGTTGTTACTGTCTGCCTCCCCCCAGCAGAATACAAGCCTCCAGCAGATGGGGATTCTGGTCTGTTGTACTTACCGCAGCAGTTACAGCATCTTTTGACGGTGCCTGGCACCCAGCAGGTACTCAGTAAGTGCTGGTTAAATGAATAAATGGACTGGGCAATACAGAGCTGGCCCAAGACCTGAACCGTTGTTCACCCAATATTTCATTTAAGCCAGAAGTTCATGCAACCTTAAGAAAATGGTAGAACAAATCCTTGGCCAATCAAGATGCTCAGGGCAGGATGGCTCTGGGTAGCAGAGTGGCAGCATTAACTTATGCTGCTTTGAAGCAATTTGCACCACCAAGAACTGGAGTGCTGCTGGCCTCCACTATAGACTTTTCCCCTGAAACAGACCTTCCAAATTCAGGTAGGGAAACCTCTTCCCCCATACCCTGCTTCCAGACGAAGAACCTGTTCCCCTCTCTGTTGCATATGAAAAACAGAATTCCACAAAACACCTGCAGCAGACATAACTATAAACACTTTCAAACAAAGGTGGGCCATCTTTGCCCTTATTATATAAATCTCAAAGCAGTAGAATTAGAAAACAGTTTCGATCTCCACCTCATAGGGCCTTTTCAAGCAAAATCTAAACTCCAACGGAAGCTCTAGTTCCCATGGTCACCTGACTGGAGATCAATGGCCCTCAATCAGCGGTCTACGCGAACTTTCCATGTACAAACAGTGATAAAAGGTATGCAGGCCTTGTTTGGATCTTACTCAGTGTGCTTTCTTACTCTGTGTTGACGTGTAAATGAAGTTTAAAGATAGTTTTTCGGGCGCCTGGGTGGCTCAGTTGGTTAAGCGACTGCCTTCGGCTCAGGTCATGATCCTGGAGTCCCGGGATCGAGTCCCACATCGGGCTCCC